CCCTCTTTATCTATTCCTGAAGTAAGCCCTCTTTATCTATTCCTGAAGTAAAATTTGGGGAGTTGGGGGGTGCTGGGGTTTGAATCCTGGGCAGAAGAGGCCCCCTCCCCAAATTTTACTTCAGGCCTGCTCGTACAATAAATTATTTGATAATTTGACTTTTATTTTAATTGGTTTATTTCAGTTTTTAATGCAAAATTTTTGCTTTTGATAGACTAAAACACCTGAATCTCAGTAATAAGGTTTCCCTAGACATACTATTAGTGTAGCTTATTTCCTTAGATGGCAGATCTTACACACTGAATGCTGATTTTTTTACTGGCTTTAATTTTTAGCTATAGTTTCATTTTTTTAGTCTTAAAGTTTAGCAATTTCCAAGTTATATTATTCCTCTGAATACCATATTTGCCACATCTCAAAAAGATTTTGTGATTTCTTAATCATTCAAATACAACATACGCTTTTTATTTTAAAAAGTCTGCTATTATGTAGACAGGAGTTTAAAATTTTTTAATAGATTTGGGAACTTGGGAGTTTATCCTTACATTTTGAATGTTTTATTCTTATTGTAGATTGAAGGATATATTTGCTTTTATTGCATATAGCATAGGAAATACCTACCGTTTGTGTATGTGGACATTTAGATCCTGTATGAATTTTTTGAAAATTTTATGTACATGTGAATAGAATGAAAGGGGTGGGGGCAATATAGATCCTGTATGAATTTTTTGAAATTTTTATGTACATTTGAATAGAATGAAAGTGGTGGGGGAATGCATGTATGCACACACATGAGCAAGTGCATGTGTATCTGTGTGTCTGTGTCTTTCGAGGATCCAACCCAGGGCCTCATGCATACTGGGCAATTTCTGTACTGCGGAGCTGCTCTCATTTTTGGAATAGAGATTTGTATGTATCTTTATGTGAGCTTAAATCAAGCTTTCTATTAAATTCTTTGTTTTATATCTACTTAGTAACTTGAGAGAGATGGTAAAGTCCAATTTATGCATGTACTTCTCTTTTCTTCACTTTTTATATTCCAAAAATATTTATGAGGTTTAGAAACTTTATTGAATTATTCTTCTGAATTGACACTGTAATACTTAGTATTATTTTTGATATGTTTGCTGCTTTTTAGTTTGAGAATTCTGTTTTCTTTACACCAAATATTGCTATACCTTCAGTTTTTGATAGTATTTGTCTATCTTTATCCACAGCTGTTTGTATAGTGTGTCATGTTCCTCATGTGTATCTATATACATATACACATAAAAATGTGTATGTGTTTAGGTATAAAGTGTGTGAGTATATTAAGTATGTTTTGAATGTTCATTTCTTTTAATAGGGAATTTAACCTGTGTACATTTATTTTTCATGGAGTTGAATGTTATCTTAACAGCCATTAAAACTTTAGTTTCAAATAATTTTTCTTGTATACCTTTAAAGGTACTCTACTTCTTCTCCTTTTAATTTAATATTGCTAATGCCTAATTTTGTCTTGCTTTGGAAATGATCTGTTTGGCTTCCCCAAATTTCTCTTTATCCTTATGTTAAAAATTTGCCCAATTACTGGGTTTTATTGGTAATGGGACATTGTAATTTGAAGCTGATCTTTAGGGAGTTTTGGGAGGAATTATGATGGAGACTAAGCCTGGAGACTTTGGTTTGGGTTCAGAGGTCAGTGGAATTGATATGAAGACATTTTGTATTTTAGGTTTGTCTTCTGTTAAGTGGAGATTATACTTAATAAATGTTTTTAGTATTAGATATTTCAAAATTTTGCTTCTAGGACAATTTCTATGATTATGCCTCTCCCCTCTTTCTGGCATTTCTATTAAATAGATTTTGACCTTCTGGATTAGTGTTCCATGTCATCATATCTTCTCCTCTCACTTGCCATCTTTGTTCTTTGTTACAAGAATCCCAGTGACTAATAATAAGAAATGATTGGTGAACTTTAAAAACAGTTTTGGAATGTGAAAAGTTTAGTAACTTTACGTTTCTTAGAACACCTAGTCTAAAACCATTGTTCTTGTTGATATGGAATAATGACTTGATGATCTGTTCAACACAGATGGAATGTCCCTAATCTTTTGTTGTAGTTTCATGATGAAAATTTAATCTCTGAAAAATTTTTTGGTTATGTTTTGTATTAAAGATTTGTTTGGAGAAGTCTTCATTTTGGTCTAGAGTTTAGGAAGATCTTCAGACTCATATGCTTTTTTTTTTTTTTTTAGTTGTCCATGAACACAGTACCTTTATTTTATTTTCATGTAGTGCTGAGGGTCAAACCCAGTGCCTCCCATGTGCGAGGGGAGCACTCTACCACTGAGCTACAACCCCAGCCCCTCAGATTCATTCTTATAATCGGTAATAGGAGTTCTCACTGAGATTTTTAAAAGTATGTTTTTGGATTAATGTAAAACATAACACTACTTTTTCATATCTCCTCCCTTTTGTTTTCTTTTTTAAAAAATATTGTTTTAGTTGYAGATGGACACAAATCTTTATTTATTCATTTTTATGTGGTGCTGAGGATTAAACCCAGTGCCTCACGCAAGTGCTCTACCACAGAGCTACAACCCCAACCCCCTTTTGTTTTCTTTAATGATTGGACAGAGTTAGAAAAGAATAAAGTACTATCTAGACTTTAAAATATTGTCTTATATTCATCATTTAGTTGATAACATTACTTAAGGACTATTTACCTTATACTCATTCTCCCTAAATGTTAGTTTTATAATTGTTATTTATTTTATGAATTATTTGATTTCTGACAAGTGTATAAGTGCCAACATTACAGAAGATCCCAGTGGAAATTCATTCTTTGGTATTTTCTGTAATTTTTACAGATATTTTTTGTGGTACAGGAAGATCCTTCCCAGCCGGTGTGTGTGGCGTCCGTACTCTCTGAATGCCAGGTGTCCTCAGCTGGGCCGTTGGAACAGATGGGTTTTAAGGGTTCACTTACATGCTCTTAGTGCTTTATTTCCTCCCCACTATTTCCTGATATCTTTTTGTGATGATGTAAATGAGTATGTTGGATAAACTCCAGTACTTTTCATAATAGTTTAGCTAATGTCATGTGATATTTTTCTTTGAAGGCCTGACTAAGAGAACATATTGGTGTCTCTAAAATAATGTAGGTGTTGGGCTAAGGATCAATTTACATTATTTTTTCCTTACATATATTTAAGTAAAACTTATTATATCTTATTTGTCAAAGTTATTTTTAGTGAAAAAGACTTATGTACATCGTGCCAATAAGAACCCCTATATTTTTTTACCATTTAGGAGAAATTAGTTTATGTTAATGTGTTATCAGAAAATTTTCTCAGCAGATTAACTGTATTTTCTTCTTTCAGCATTTTCTTGACTTCTCTGGACCTTGATGTTATTATTCTTGTTAACTCTAGGATTTATTAATATTTCGGACATATTTAGGTGCCTTGGAAGGTTACATTATAAAACAGCCTATTTTGGGAAAAAAAAAACTGGTTGTTATGCTTTAATCAGAGCATAACAGTTGTTATGCTTTAATCAGAGAAATAAGGCTTTATTTTCTTTTTTAATGCAGTAATGCTAAGTATAAAATAGAAGTGAAATATGTACTAGTCTGGACATGTGAACATTATATAAAATTAAAATGTGATGAATATAACTAAAACTTGAGTTATTTACAAGTTTTACTGGTCTATTAATTCGAAATCAAAATGTACAGAAGACAAACCAAGAGTCTCTAAGCTTTCTTATGTTGTTTAGTACAGTGGATTGATAATAAAGAAGAAGAGTTTGATAGTATGTGATGGTTTATTTACATGTTTATTTACAAATTTACAWGGAAGATTGAAAATAATTAAAAATCTCACATTCCCTGGTTAACATTGTAGAATCAGTGCATTAGCATGTGAGAATACTCATCATTATGCTCACAGAATCTACCTATTTTTGTTATGTAAGGTTTCAGTTGTTTGGTGAGTCACGTGTAGGAATAGGATTGCCAGGGTGGTATCTATTCAGTGTGTGTGAGTGTGAACACCTGTTTATCAGGGCCTTTCTGGTCAAGGAGCATTCCTGGTGCAGTGGATGCAAAGACGGTATAATCTGGTACCTTACTCAAGAATTTTGAACTAGGGTGAAAAAAGATAGAATTACCATGTGGTGGCGTGAATGTGAAACAGCATGGTGCATGAGACATTTAGGTGTCTCCGTAGAAAGAGGTTTTAGAGCCACTCAGCAGTGTTTCATAAAATAAAAGACAATTGTGAAAAGACTCCCAAGTAGGCTTAGGCGGATGAGGAAGAGTTCATTAATTGTTCAGAGACAAAATTGAATAAGCAAATGCAGCATTGTGGGTAATTCCTCCCCACAATGTACACTCATTGGCCCTCTACTCCCCCTGGTGTTTGTGGAGACTTTTTACATTGCTTTCCACATCTTGCAAGAAAGTGGAGGCAGGCCAGTGTGGAAATGGGGAAAGATATACCCAGATGAATTAATTTCCCATCACACTCCCAGCTGTGGTAAAGAAATAAAAAACTAATTGCTACAGYGAAGTATCTGGATTTTTATGTCCCCACTTTTATCTCCCTTGGGATTCTTGGGGTTGGAACCCAGGGTTGTAAGCATACTAGGCGAGCACTCTAGCATTGAGCTACATCTCCAGCCCTTTATATGTATCTTTAATCAACTACATATCTGCCTTTTAAATTATACTATTAGACTATTTGTCTTTTAAATCTTTAGTTGTACATTTTTGACAAAATAGGAAAATTTGAAATGCCAGCTTTCTAATTTGAATGGAAGGATGAGTTGGTGATATGACAAGCATTCCGTTGAGCACCTTAGGTTTTATTATTTTTAACTGGTCCTTTATTCACAGGTGCAAATTGTTTTACTAGTATGATACAAATAACTTTTTTTATACCTTCCTTATCCCTACATTTGAATGTTGCTTTTTAAGGTTTTCTAATGAGACTTCTCTCCCTTTTCCCCTCCAGCGATGTGCATTTTGTAAGCACCTTGGAGCCAGTATCAAATGCTGTGAAGAGAAATGTACCCAGATGTACCATTATCCCTGTGCTGCAGGAGCCGGCACCTTTCAGGACTTTAGCCACTTTTTCCTTCTTTGTCCAGAACACATTGACCAAGCTCCTGAAAGATGTAAGTTTATGACAGATGTATTTTTAAACTTCTTTCAGTGTGTTTACTTACACTGTACATTCCCTCCATGTTATTCTACTTGTACATAATCCTGGTAGTCTGAGGGATCTTTGCAATAGGTCCTTGGGRGAACTTTGTTAACAATTTCATAGAAATTAATTCCAAAAGGCTATTTCCTCAAAAATTTAAAGAGAGCTTTTATATTCTTGCTTTTTTAAAAAAATTAAACCATAGAAAAACATACTGAGTATAGTATTTCGAATATGTGCTATACAGCAGTTCATTAAAAGGTTAAATGGTAATCAGTGTCTTTACCCACAGAACACTGTGCAGTGGGGGGAGTTCAAAGCCAGATCTCTCTGGCGTTATCTGAGGATGTCTGGTGTAGGAGCGTCCAGTACTTCATAAATTTGTGGGAGCTGTGTAGCCTTGGGAGTTGTGATAGGAAGCTCGTTGTGCCTGTTTGTGATTCGTCAGTCTTGGGTATCTGTAATCTGCAGTGGTCTTTTTTTTTTTTTTAATTTCTTTTTCCAATAATATTTTAGAATTCAGTGAAAATGTTAAATGTTTGACTTTTCTGGTTTTTCACTATATGGATTTCCAATAAGCATGTGGGATCTTTTCCCCTAGAACATTGAATTTCCATACTCATTGTAAAATCTCCATGATGTTTTATTCAGTCTTTTATTATGTCACTTCTTACTTACTTGTTATCTTTTATTCATTTCTTACCAGTGTTTTGATAAAAGCTTTCCCCTCTGTCTTTTCCAGGTTTATGAATCATATATACTATTTCAGGCTTAACATAAAGTAATTTCAAGTACAATTAGACTATATAATCTTTACTTTTTATCTTCATTTTGTACCATAATTTCATCTTCAGTTCAAATTTTGTTTCCACATATATAATCATGTGCTCTTACCAACTATACAGGTGAACGTTATGGATAAGGCATACTAAAATTCCAAATCATATTTAAGCTTATAAATAAAGGACTTATAAATAAAGTTTAAAAAATATTTTGGATTACTTACCATTACATCTGAGAGAGAGAGAATATTCATGTACAACAACTGCTATGGGTATTTAAAAGCAGTGAATTATTTCAGTGAGGGCATACATCATTATATTTTGGGTGGTATAATACACTTTGCCCACAGATAAAAATTGCTTTTCTGTATGTAATAATCTGAATTTTATTCAGTGTTTTGGATTCAGTTATACTATAGACCTTGGTAAACAGTGTGCAAACCTGTATATGAATATGGCTCTAATATTAGAGATTTCATTAATTGATAGGAGTACTGCTTTCTGCTGACAACAACATTCTATAGTATATGCCCTCAGTTACATGTTAGTGATCATAAATCAGTTTGTAAAATAATGAACTGTTAAGAACTGAAGTGAGCTTATTTGCCATCATTTGTCATGCAGATGGTGAAAGGTTTATGCTGGCAATTTATAGGTAAAAGATACATCAAAATTAGTGGTATTATGCCTTGTTCCAAAATAGACTCATGGAGATTAAAATAGATGAACTGTACAATAAAATAAAACTAACATGAAGTAAGCATATTTGGCCATGTGAAATACAAATCAAATAACTATGAAGGTATTGCTGAGCCTGATACCCAAAAGAAATGGTCTATTTATTTATTTATTTAAGTTATACATGGATACTACGTTTTATTTTATTTATTTATTTTAATGTTGTGCTGAGGATCCAACACAGGGTCTTGCACATGCTAGGTGAGCACTCTACCAGGGAGCTAGGACCCCAGCCAAAGAAATGGATTCGTTTTAAATGTAAAACACAAATTTCTAGAAGTTAACACAAAGGAGGAAATAAGAACATTTATCTGATTCTCAGTGTGTATGACAAGATTCACTTGATATTGAAAAATTGTCTTAAAGTTAACTGTCTGGCAGTATAAACAAATCCTGCAGGGCTGTTTCCTACAACTGCCCTCAAACTGAGCCAGTGGTGTAAAACCAGTGCCCAATTGTGAGTAAGTTCTATTCCTTATGGATTTTTAAAAAATATATATACATATTTTTTAGGTTGTAAATGGACACTATACCTTTAACTAACTAACTAATTAATTAATTAATTTTTATATGGTGCTGAGAATCGAACCCAGTGCCTCACATGTGCTAGGCAAGTGGTCTACCACTGAACCATAACCCAGCCCTCCTTAGGGATCTTAAAGAATGCAGTCTAAATATACAGATTTCTGGCCACATGTCTTAATTTAAGGATATAATTTAGATAATATTGCAGATAGAGTGTATTTCTGCCTCTGTAAAATCCTTCATAACTGTTGCTAGCTACTTAATTGTGGGTCATGGCATAAGATAGTTAACTTTTATGTTTTTAAAATGGGGATATCTTGAATCAGTGTCATTATGTTGGTAAATGATAGTAATTAATGGAATCACACAGCATTGTGCCTTGTATAAATTAATTGCTTTACCAAAAGATAGTTATTTTAACTCTTTAGTTAAGACTTGATGTGAGAAGAATAATTTTTATTGAGTGCACGCTTTTCACGTTGCTGATTAAGTGCAGAAAAATGTACTGTGATAGTTGGCCGAGTTAAGAATAAGATTGACACTTCTGTTTATGAAAATAGAAAAATCTATCAAAAACATTTTCATGCAGATGATGGAACATTTATGAGGTTTCTCCTTAGAAAGATTATTTGTGAGCAAGCCAATGTTTTCCTTTTAGGGAGCTCTCTCCTGCAGAAGTGGCTGGTCATGGCTCCAACATTATCCTTGTAACATCATGATGCAAAGGATATGCTAACTATGTCTAGAAAGTTTATGCTGAATATCCATCTAGGAGATTTAGCCAGATAAACTTTCATAATAGGCAAGTTGGGTGGCAAGGAGCCAGCCACGAAAGACCAAGGAGAGAACATTCCAAGCAGGGAGAAAACTGCTACACAGGCTTTGAGGAATGAGCCTGGCATGATTCGTGGACAGACACCTAATAGTCATTGTAGTAGCCTGCTAAGTGGTTAGAAGAGATCTTGTCAAGGTGAACACAGACTAAAGGAATTTGCATTTTACTGTCTGCAGTGAGAAGGCTTTTCAGAGGTTAAATGTGGGAAATATCGTCTCCCAATCCACTCTCTCCTCTCTAGCGAATTTGCTTCATCACTAGGTTTGACTCCAGCCTTTCTTCCCTTGCTAGTGTTTCTTGAAGTCCTGATACTCTTCTGTTTTGCCCATGTTCTGTCAGCCCTTGGCCTTTTTTTCCTAACTGCCTGCCACCTGCATGAGCCCATCTCTTTGGATGACATCTATGATCTACCTTTTCTATGTAGAGATTTCATTTGTAGGCAAATCACGAAGCACAGTGTCCTTCCAGTGAACAAAACTGGCAGATGATGAGTGTATTGCGGAGTTGATGGAACAAGAAGGCTGTGCTGGTCTAGCCTGACGGTGTTTCTTCCCCATGGCAGCTGAAATCTTGCTCTCTACCAGTGCTTCTATTCTGTGTGCCTGTTTGACTTTCTCAAGCACCTTCCAATCTGAGTGGGTTTCAGTCTGTGATAAGCTTCTTTCTCACCTGAGATTAATGTTTTTATCTTTTTCCTTTTATCTCTTTCACAGTTGTCACTTAGGAAATGACTTTCTGTACAGATTATCCTTCTGTTTCTTTCACTTTTCTCTTGTCAAAAGAACCTTGTGCCCTTATTTCCTTCAACTTCTTCATCTTGTGCCTTTGTGGCACTTTCCTGCCTACTTTGGTGTATGTTCCAATGTTCTTCACCTTCACTGATGAGTAGAGTAGTTCAATTTAGTAGTCAGTATTTATTAATAAGTAGTAAAGATTGTGATCATTGAAGACAAGGAGACTTGAGCTTTACTTTTGCCCTCTCTAATGATCTTCTAACCTTTCAATCTGCTTTTGCAACTGCTTATAGAAAAATTTCACTTAGTTGTTTGATGATTGCTTCAATTTTAATGTCTCTGGTTTGTAGATGTATATGCATGTACATGTACACATACTTCTGACATGACATGACAGCTACATAGTTGCATCATCTTATACATAACCTCCAAAAAGTGGTTTTAGTATTTCTGCACATAACCTGTTCCCTGGCTGGGGAGTAGGTTGGAACCAACCTCATACTTTAACATAGTACTTTTTTCTGTTATTGTTATGTATGTAACAAATGGTAAATATATTTGTATTAGATGCATCACATTGATGTTTTTCTTTGGTTTATTATCAGTAATCTGTAGAAGTCAAATAACACAACAGGATTGTCATTGAGGAATTGCTGGGAATCATTATAAAATAAAAAGTGGGAACACTCTTGTTTCAGATGGGGTTTGTGAGTATAGAATGGTTCTGTGAAATAGAAATATAATTCAAGCAAGCTATTAAGTGAAAAGTATTTGAAATTTTATAGTAGGTTTTATCTAACCAAATATATAAAAATATTAGTATTTCAACATGTAATTAATATAAAAATTTTGAGACACTTGACTTTTTTTTCCTGCTAAGCCTGCATTCTGTATGCATTTTATATTCACTACACATCTCAGTGTGGACTAGTATGTCAGTTGCTCAGGAGCTGCTATGACTAGTTGCTGTCATGGCAAGTTGAAGTGATGGAGTAGCAAACTCTAGGAAGTTTTATGGAAATATTTTAGACAGTGTTCCTGCAAAATTATTAATAAGGCAAACCAAGTATCTGATAATTATTCATGTGCTTTCCACAATTTCTAAAAGTTTAGAGTAGGCAAAGATCAATTTTTAAATGTACATAATTCTTAGTATTAAGAAAAATAATTTATCCTCTTATGTCCTTCTATCAWGTGTGAACTTCCCCTTTTAAATCCATGATTTATTTTAAATGTCTGACAATTAAAGAGCTATTTAAAAGTGATTGTAGAAGGAAGACCTTCATTTAAATAAAATGCATTTAATAAGATTTAATTTATACTAGGCAGTTGGAGATAAAGAACGGAAAAAGAAACATCCCTGTCCTTCAAGTGTTCCCAGCTTTGGGCTGTCTTTAATGGCTAGTACAGCAAAACTTTCTTGTAGGCATATGGGGGAACAACAACCATTTAGGTGTGAAAACAGGTATTTACAGCAGAGTTTTGAAGGCCTCTCTGGAATAGGCTGAGGACGTTTTTTGTTTTTTGAATAATTTAGTACTAGGGATTGTAACCTCTGAGATATATCCCCAAACCTTTTTTTTTTTTTAATTTATTTTTTAAAATTTTGAGATGGGGTCTCACTAAGTTGCTGAGCCTGACTTTGAACTAGCAATCCTCCTGCCTCAGCCTCTTGAATTGCTGGGATTACAGGCATGTGCCATTGTAACCTGGCACACAGAGTTCTGAGCAGAGGGAACAGAATGTGTAAAGGGACATAGTGTTGTGTCATGCTCACTACAGACTACTCACACCAACAGGAGAGAGCGGGTAGTTCCAAGATCTGGCTGGAAGGCGGGGTGTGGGGGTGCTTTTTTGCTCAGCCTATAAAATTATGATTTTTTTAAGGCGTAAAAGGAGGTAATGATGATTTTTAGTGTAAACAGAGCCTGACAATCAGATTTTACATTTTTGAAAATGTGGGGTTTAGATGTATAGATAATTTTTAGAGAGGTCAGAACCTTAAATTGGGATGACTCCATTTTGAAGAAACTGTTATCATTAAGACAAAACATGAACTAAATAATAAGAACAGAAAGTCGGGTATGGAAAGTTTAGTAAATAAGCATTGGTGTGTCTCTCAGGTGTGCTGGGTCAGAGGAGTTAATAGTCAACAGTGACACTGAAGTTTCTGCTTTTAACCCATTGGTATAAGTTTAATTTCATTATTTTTAGAACATCTGGCTGTTGAGCTCCAGTAAGACTGAAAATAAAGGTTTGGGTTTAATGACAGAAGCCTGGGGCTGGTAATACAAATTTGGCAGTTGTAGCCTTCTTTTGACATGGGAGAGATTTCATTTGTAGGCAAATCACAGAGCACGGTGTCCTTCCTTTGTCCTTCCACAAAGGAAAACCATMGGGAGTTGGAAAGGAAGAAACAGGGTGGAGTCTAGGGTACTCTGCAGCATTTAGGGAGGTTATAGAGATGCAGCAGTCAAAAAAGGAAGATGAGGTGGACATACTGAAAGCCTAAAGAGAGATCAGGAAAGAGTTGTCAAGGAAAGGGAGGTGTGAATAGGAGATGGTCAATAATGCAAATGTTGCTAAGTGTAGGAATGGCCTGGTTGAAAAAGTGACCACATAGTCCTTTGTAGCTACATTAAAGCAGCTTCAGGAGAATGGTGGATCTGTATGTCAGGGTCCAGCCTACAGACCACATTCCAGGACCTCGAGCTAGGAATGGTATATACATTTTTAAAGGATTGTTGTTGTTGTTGTTGTTGTTTTTAAATGTCTGTATTCGAAGACTGCTGTGGCTTAAAAGCCTAAATATTTACCAAGTAGTCCTTTGTAGGAAAAGTTCTCTGACTCCTGGAACATGTAAGAGGGTAGATTTACACTCAGTTTGAAGATGCTTAACTAGGAAAGAGAGAAGGTGAAAGTGATTTTTAGAATAGAATTAATAGAGGAACAGATAGGAATGACCAAACTCAACAAAAGGGAAAACAACAACAAAAAAGACTCTCATACTTTGTGATAGTTGTTAGAAATAGGCATAGTCATATGACCTAAAATGGAGTAATTTTAGAATACATTATTTTCCTTCTCTTATCGTAATATATGCATGGGCTTAACTGTGTATTGGGGAGGGCAGTTTTTTCTTGACATTGTTTTTATTTTAGACAGTAAAAGTACAGTTAGAAAGTGCACCTTTTAGTCTGCATTTATGGTTAGATAATGTCTATAAGTATATGGACTTCAATACTTTTACAACTGGAAATCAATGTAGATGAGAATAGAATTAATATATGAAAAATTACATTCATGTTTGAATATGTAGCTTCCGTTTTTATGTTTAGCTTATATTCTCCCACATAAGACATTTTTCAATATTAAAAAACCCTTGTTTGACCTGAGTAGTTTGTTTATGCTTAAGAAGCATTTAATCTAATTCATATCAACATTACCTAATTTTGTCTTTTATCTGGTTTTGTAAATTCAAATATATTTAATCCAATAAAATCTTTATTCTTACACTACCAGTGTCTCTCAGTTCATTCCCTCTGCCCCTTGTCCAGTTCATTGCAGCAAGTATATATTGACCATTAATTAAATGCCCAGCATTATCATTGGTATTAGAAAAATAAAATCCAGAAATGTTTGTGGCCTCAAGAAGATATAGGCACAAATCATTGCAAAACTAAATGATTGAATTTAATGTGGTTAAATCTAGATTAAATACACTACCATGCTTTTATTGAGACCTCATTCTGACTAGRTGCCAGTCCAGTGTGGATAACTTCAAGTGTCTGAAAGTTTACCATGCAAATTCCCTTTAAGTGATTTTAAATTGTCAAGTCAGAAAAGTATTAAATTCTTATACAACAATTTCATTGTTTTACTGTTAATTATAGCAAAGGAAGATGCAAACTGTGCAGTGTGCGACAGCCCGGGAGACCTCTTAGATCAGTTCTTTTGTACCACTTGTGGTCAGCACTATCATGGAATGTGCCTGGATATAGCGGTTACTCCATTAAAACGTGCAGGTTGGCAATGTCCTGAGTGCAAAGTGTGCCAGAACTGCAAGTAAGTTTTAATTTCAACTCAAAGGTGTGTATTGAGTTTAAGAGAGACCCTATCAGGTGCTAAAGATTTATGTAATATGATAAAAGTTGTTCATATTGCAGCTATATTCATTCAAACAGACTTTATTGTGTCTTAAATAACTAGATATTTATTAACATTTCTATTAGTTTGAACCCTAAGCAAAACACATTTTAATAATTTAAATTCTCCTGGTTGTCTAAAAATCTAACTTAAATATGCCAACAATTTGTAAAAGACTGATCTTAATAATTTAAGCATTAGAAAAATAAAGTAGCTTTTCTTGAGGGGATCTGGGGAGATGATTTAATAGGAAAATGAAGCTCTAACTAGAGAAATTATTTCCTAGAGTTCAGCCAGGAAAATCAGTGATGTGTTTGAATTTCTTTTCCAGAAAGGTCACTTTCTTCTAAGATTACTGTTTTAATAAAACCTTTATATTTATCTGAAAGACAATTACCTTTAGTAGATTCTAGTTACCAAAATTCTAAAATGAAGTATTGTGTGGCATTTAAACAAATGTTATGGCAGATAACAAATGTTATCTTCTTCTATTTGTTATATTCCATCCTTGGTCATTTTTCTAGTCTCTGAAACCCCCACACCCCCCATTAGCAAGATAATCAGGGATGTTACCAGCATCACCAACAATCTAAGAATGCAGTTTACAGGCTGAGTATTTTTGGTACCAGAAGGAATTAATACCCAGCATTGCCATGTATAGTCAGTTTTATTAGTTACTCATTTTGATGATAGTTAGCATCAATATGTTAGAGTTATATGGAATAAATTTGACCACTTACCCTCTTATTTTGGTAAAAATTAGGTAAAATAAAAGTAAAACATTTTTCAGTACCTTGTATCTGTATTCAGTTTCTTTGGGAGGAATGAGAAAACTCAAAGAGAGTGCTTATTCTCTAAGATCCTTCCACCTAGCAGAAGAGGTAAAGTATGCAATATTATATGTAGAGTCTTTTGAACTGAATAGTAACTGGAGGCCAGCTTTTACCCATTTTTCCTATTTGTTACTTATTCCCAGGTTTGATTTGGAGACCTGCTTTCAACTCTTCTTAAATTCCTCATTTTTGCTTTTCTCCTCTTCTTGAATTAAATTTAGTATCTGAGAGTGATTAACTGCCAAGAATTGAGACAAGAGATTATGTGGTAGGGCTGGGACCCAATTTTTAGGGCAAAAGAATATTTAAAGAAAGCTTTTAGGTTTTCAAGTATAATTCTCAATAATTATGACAAGATTATTTTTCTTAGTACATAATCATTTAATATTTATTGCTTAGTGGACATTTTAATTCTCACAGAATTCTTTCATTATTATTCCCATTTTATTTGTGAAACTCAACTGAAGCCTCAGTTTGCACAGCTGGGGAATAGCAGTCTGAATACAAATACAGATATGTCTGATTTGACCCTCTGTCATTATATAACAGTGCCTTTGCCATTCACGCTGCCAAGATTTGATCCTTTCCACACAGTATCACCTAGCAGTTACAATTCTTCCCCACAAATGAATGGGCATGAGCTATTTCAACAACAAAGATGAGAGGTTGTTCATCTTGCCTTCCCCCTCCTCCTCTACAGGAGTCCTAAAATGACTAAAGCAAGTTACTGCAGGTGAACTTCAAGTAAAGATAGCCCTTTAGGGACCCATGGTTGGGGGTTACCTCATCATTATCTATGTAGAGACAAAAACAGATACTGAGGTATTTATGAACTGTGCAGTTTCTAGGACTGATCCTTTTCATGATTACTTATGTTATAAAACATAAGTTTAAAGATAAGGCATCATTAATGCTATCTTATTTTTTAGACAATCGGGAGAAGATAGCAAGATGCTAGTGTGTGATACGTGTGACAAAGGGTATCATACTTTTTGTCTTCAACCAGTTATGAAATCAGTACCAACCAATGGCTGGAAATGCAAAGTAAGTTATTTATTTTTTTAAGAAAATATCCTCTGTATGTTTTATATAGAGAGCAGACAAATCAGATACCTATTCAAATCTATTTTAAAAATACTTYAAACTTCATTGACGTATAACTTATATACAACAAACTGCACATATTTAAAGTATTAGTTTGACACATATATATACCATGAAACTATCATCATCTTCAATATAATGAACCTTCTCATCATCTTCAAAAGTTCCCTGGTGCCCTTGGGTACCCGCCTTCCTGGCTATCCACACCCTTCTCTGGTTTTCCCAACTGGTGTGCTTTTGCTCACTGTAGATCGATGTTCATAGTCTACAATTTTGTGCAAATGCTATCATGTAGTATACTCTCATTTTATCTGGCTTTTTTGGCTCAATGTAATTATTTTGAGGCTTTTCCAATTTGTTGCACATATTAGTTGTGATTCCTTTGTATTACTGAGTGGTAGAGATACCAGGTTGTTACTTAAATCTTTGTTGGTGATTTGGGCTGTTTACAGTTTGGGGCTACTAAAAATATTGTGAACTTATCAATTAATATTAGTATGGTGCTTAATGAAAGAAACTAGTTTTGCATTATTTATCAATCTTCCCAGACACCTGTGAAATAGGTGTATCTCCATGAAGAAACTGAAAAACCAGATGTATTTTATAGTCTGTTAATTTGTAATCCCAGGTAAAAGATATTGCATTCTGATTGATTAGCTCTTAGGGTCCTTACAATTAATTTGTATGTACAGTGTACCTATGTTAGTGTGTGTGTGTGTGTGTGTGTGTATTAAGAATTTAGAATCATAATGTGCAACTTTTAGGTTCTCTCTCTTCCATGGTAGTTTTAAATAAATGATTAGTGACTCAGATATTTATTTTTTTATTGTCGAAAGTTTCTCTTGGTTTTGAGATGTGGCCAGAATCTTCAGATATTTTCCTACGTTTTTATTGCTGAAAATACCAGACCTTCTATTGTGTGGGGCACTTTTTAAGATCTGTTTATAGTTACTTTTAAGTTTTCCTTGTTATTCTTTTGGTCAGTAAATTATTTTTTCTTCTTCCATCTGTTTTTTTGTATCTGCATTTGTATGACCCTGAGATAATACCATGCTGGTCACTTTAAGCTTTCCCAGGAATTTACTGAGTTCTCACTACTGTCTGTAGTCCCTGTGGGTAGACTTACAGTTCTGTCGACTTGGGCATACTTTGTGTAGGACCAGGTAAGCAACAGAAGATTATAGGGTGTTATCTACCCAGAAGCATAAAGTATTTAAATTCTTAAAGTGAAAATAGAAGATAAGAGTAGTTCAAGTTTACCTTCAGATCTCTCAGCAAAAATTAGTAAAACTAATTTTTAAAAAAATTCTTGGATGATATTTACAAACAATATTTAGTGTGGCCTTTCTTTGAATGTTCTCTAGAAAGTTAAATTAATCATAAAAGTAGCCCAGGTGTTTCCTTTAAAATTTATACAGGCCAGTGAATAAATTCCAAAATGAAGGTTGATGAGGATTAATGGTTAAGTAAGTTGTCCAAGTTTACTGATTTGTAGATCCTTTCTTAAACTGTAGATATCACATTCTAATACACTATTTTCTCCTTGTGTCACCATACTGTATATGCTTAATTGTGTAAGAAGGGCTTTCCTCCCTACACTAATTAAGAATATTTTTCATTTCATTAGAATGTAGGTCTAAAGAAACTAAGGACTCCAGATTCATATACTGTCCCTCTCCCCTCCCCCGCGTTGACTTCAGTTATTTATAATCTTAATGTTAAAAAGTCAAATAGAATTTACAAAGAAAATACAAGGAAGTAAGAAATATTAATTTTATKTAACAGTTAATTTTGGTTTGAAACTAAATTGCCAAGATCCTCTATGATAGATGTTTCCTCAGTTCCGGTTCATTGCTTAAGCTTTTTTTTTTTTTTGGCTTTAATGATGATACAGACAATTTTTCTTTTTTCATTTTTTGTGGTGCTGAGGATTTGACCAAGGGCCTCACATATGCTAGGCAGATGCTGTGGTACTGAGCCACATCCCCAGCCCAGAAGAGTGCCTGTTGTATTTGTTTTTAAAATAAAAATAGTATTGATGATGTCCTGCCCTTCTTTGCTAGTTCAGGTTAATAAGACCTCAGAAAGCAGTCCTTGAACATTTAATTTAATGAAATGCTGCTAAACTCTGTAAAGCTTTTGTTCACAGACTCACGGTGGTGGCACAACTGAAATCTGTAATTAATGGGGGTATCAATCCAGTTATTTCTCAAATACAGAAGTTCCTCATTATAATTTACTGGTATGCTGTTTGCAGCTTAACTGTTGTAGGTAGATACTGACAAGGACCATAATCTTCTGCTTTCTCTGAGAGTTATGATTCTGATTACTGGGTGCATGTCCCTGTGCCATTCTGACACCTAGTGCTTTTCCCTTGGTAGTACTATATAGAAAACTTGCTTATTTCTTCTGTCTTTGACAGCACTTGGGGCTAACAGAATAATAAATAGAAATGCTAAATGCAGGCATTGCAGCTTGCATTGCAGTAATCTTGAAGGTCAGTTAAATTATATTAATTTTTAATTAGTGTTTCTATGAAAAAATGTCACGATCTCTGAAATCTCCAGAGTCAGTGATATCCCTGCAGCCTCCCATTCTTGTCCCATTTGCACAGAAGTGTGCTCTTGGTGTATCTCCCCTAGGTCTCCCTTTCCGTTTCTATTTACCGGCCCATGTGTCACCTTCTTGGCATCCTCCAGGGTGCAGTTTTCAAGGGTTTGGGGGTGGAGTGGGATGCTGAGGATGGCACCTGGAATTGCAGGCCTGGGGCTGCTTCCGGGGTTAGGCTTCTCTGGCTGCTGGGGTCCCATGGCTCTGCCACTGGCTTGGAGGGTCCACCCTGCCCCTCCCTTGCAGGACCGGAGAGGGTGTGATGGCCTGCAGGAAGGGAGGTGCTGTGCCCGTCTGGGCAGGGTCTCTTGGGCCTTTTTGGAATGCCTTTTAATTGCTTTTCAAACGTCTTTTCAGGAAAGGTAGGCTAGAGAGTCCTGGTGAGGAGGTCACTCTAGCTGCAGGTGCAGGGGCGGGGTGGGAGGAGACATTGAGGGAGCCGGCACCTGTGCTTCATGTAGTCCACGGGGGACAGATGATTGACACCTGGAACTGGAATCTGGGTTTGGGCCTTTTAGGGCAGTCCTCAGGGAGTTCTCTTAGGCAGTAATCGGAATGCGGGGCTTTTGAGCAGAGAGGCCATTTCACCTGGGATTCAAAAAGCCACTGGGCACCTGCGCTCAGGTGTGGCCACCTGGGAGGTGGAGCCTGCAGACTGAAGAAGGCCTGCTTTCTCGGGTAGTTCCATTTCCTCCCTGGTTGAATGAGAGGTGGTGATGTGTTATCTTGATAATCAGGCTAAGGAAAAAATTCTGTTTAATGGGTTGGTACATTTATTATTTTTATCTTAACACAGTGTCTCTATTTGTAATTTGTTTTCTTTCATAAGGAGGAAGAATATATAAAACTATAAACTTACCTTTGATTATAACTTTGGTTGCACTCAAATTGCATTTGTAACCTTCTATGTATGTATATATACCTGACTCAATAGCTTTATCCTTCTTTTTTATGGTTGTACTGTTAATTTCTACTTTAATTACATTTAATCAGAGAATTTAATTTAGCTGATGTGTTTTTGGAAAACAAATGTTTTAATACTTGAAATAATGACTTTTGAAAAGTGAAGCATTTATTTATTATTTCATTGTTAGAAGAAATCCTTTTACTTTGTTTTTTGGCTGGTTGATTCAAAAAACTGATAAAATTAACCACTGTAGTTTTTCCTATCAATTTTTTGTATCCTTCACTATTTAAAAAAGAATCATAACTTATTTTATACCTTTTTTTTTTTTTTAATGTGATGCTTAGGATTGAGCCCAGTGGCTCACCCATGCTAGGCAAGCACTCTACCACTGAGCTACAGCCTGGCCCCTATATCCTTCACTATTTTAATAAAACATTTATTTTGTGGCTGTTACTTAGCAAACAGGCCAGACCAGTGTTAATACACTGTGCTTTTTATTAGTATAAAATCACTCTTTATCTATGTAACACTTGTTTTTCTTTTTTCTTGTGACTGGGACCAGATATTTTGCTTTTACTTTGCTTTATATCGACCCACAGGCTGTTTTCTATGGGCACATAGGCACCAGTTGAGTGTTATCTTTTAACATCTTTTAATTTAGGATCCTTTGCATCTTTTTTTAAATGTGTGTTTTGAAAGGTTTAAAAGAGCTTTTTATTTAGATTGATGTTTTTAATATAAATGTTTGGCAATTTTAAGGCAAAATTGTTTTTTTAGGGGCTGGGGATGTGGCTCAAGCGGTAGCGCGCTTGCCTGGCATGAGTACGGCACAGGTTGGATCCTCAGCACCACATACAAAGACAAAGATGTTGTGTCTGCCGAGAACTAAAAAATAAATATTAAGAAGTTCTCTCTCTCAAAAAAAAAAATTWAAAAAAAAATTTTAAATTGTTTTTTTAATTTCTGTTTTCTGTTCGGTTCACTTCTTGTACTGATTTGTGATTCATGGTCATATTTTATGAACGTTAATTTATATTTCAACTTATATAATCATTTTCTTTCACTTTCCACCCCCCTCCCCCCCMAAAAATCTTACTTTAAAAAAAAAAAAACACTTCATTTTAAATCCTTTTTTCATCCTGGAAGTTTTAGGGTCTTGTTTTAATTCTTGAGATTTGCTTCCAGGTGCTGTCTGCACTAGATAATGCTAATTTTGCCTGGAACATGTAGGCCACTGTCAGTCTCTGGTCAGATCCATTTAAGGACTGAATAAAGCTTTTTTAGCGGGGGAGTGGGTACGGTGGGGTGGTAGTTTAGTGTGGTGGTTTTGTTTTCCCTTTTTTATCCTTTTTTGACTGCAACCCATATCATGAAACTTACATTTTTATTGCAAAAAAGGATTCCTCTGTTAACCCAAACTTCACCTTCCTTTTTTTTTTTTTTTTTGAGTCTTGGTTATATTCCAAATAATGGCTCATTATTTATAATTATAATTCACCAATAAAAATATGGAAAAAACAAAGAATTATCAATTTTCTGAAATCCTATACAGCTGGAAGAGATTTGTTCCCTTCAGACTACTTTATATTCTAGAAACATTTTTCCCCCAGAATTTGAGTTTATTGTTATAGAAGAAAAAAATTACTGTGTGGGGGTCTGCCACCCAAAACTTTGGGATCTTTGTTTTTGTTCATTCATTTGGTCTATCTCCAGAAGCTATCTGTGGTAGTTCTACAAATAATTAGTTTCACCTGGAACATGTTTGTCAATATGGGTGTTTCSTCAGGCCCATTTAGAAGACGAGGAGTGGTTTTTACTTCAGAAATTTTTTACAGCCTTTTTAATGATTGGTAAAACTGGGTAGTTCTTGTTTCATACTCTTAATTCATTATTTTTTTGGTTATGTTTTTCATTATCTTGAAAAATTTCTGTAGAAACTTGTCAGTCTCTCAGCTTGTCATCTGATTTCCTTTTGGTGTACTCTGTCGCAGTTTGCTGTTCTCTCTGGGATGGACAGAATTATATACTGTATTGTTAAGAATACTATTGGATACTTAATTTTTAWATTCTGTTCTATGGAGGCACTCTGTAGAATCATTATGAGTTTTCTCATTACTCAGTATATGATCTTGGGCAAGTTACTTGACTCTCCTAAGTCTATGTGTGGAATGTTAGGAGTGCTGACCTCTTCCTCTGATATTAAAATTCTTTCATGGTTGTCTGTAGTCTTTAGTGCCTAACATTTGAGGGCAGGCTGCCTTGACTTCTCTGTGGTGTGGAAGCCGGAGATGCTGGGGCAAGTAGGGTATGCCCTTAGGGATGCCAATCAAGAAGGGGCTGCTTGCTTCTGGGCCAGAGCAAGAGTGATTCTCTGGGTCCTTGTTGTATATTGTCATTGCCAGGTCAGTTTCTTTTCCCTATTTCTCTCTCAAGAATGCCTGTGTCTAGTATATTTTAAAAGTTTTTTTTAATTGAAAGTGTTTTAAACTCTAAAAGATGAAAAAATAAAAATATCCATATGCTATTTATTTAGATTCATCTATTGATAGCACTTGTTAAAATTACCATTGTGCATGACCTCTATCTTACTGTTTGTCTATCAGTCAATTCCTGTCTACCGTTTGAAAATAAGTTACATACATGTATTTCACTGCTCTTTATATATTTCACTATTTCTTAATAATAGGGATATTCTTACATAAATATAAAACTCTCTTGAAATTCATGAATTTTCATCAGTACTGTATTTGCATCTAATGTAATTTTTTTTTTTTTTTTTTTGTCACTTGATCTAATGTTCCATGTAGCATCCTCCTTTCCAAGTGAGGGTTCTGGAATGTAGGTTAGGATTAGTTAATTTATTTAGGGAGTACTGGCATTTAGATGATGATAAGATTTCCTAATCAAGAACAATGGGTTTCCTTGTATTTGTTCTGGTCTAGTTTTGTGTCTTTGGTGAGTTTTATAATTTTCTTTCATTATAGATACTTAACGTCTTATGTTCATTTTTAAATATCTATTTTGTTGCAGCTATATGTAGGATTTTCTCATCTCTTTTAACTGGTTACTTGTAAATGCAAATTCTATTAAGTTTTGCATATTAATTTTGTGTCTTGCTATTTTGTTGAATTATTTTATTGAATCTTGATAAATTCTCTAGGATTTCCCAAGTATACTATTTGTCATTTATAAATAGAATTAAAAACATTTCTTTTCCTCGTGTCAGGCCTCTGTTGTCATTTGTTTCAGTATTTACATTGGCCCCCAGAATCATATTAAGTAGTAGCAGAGATGGCAGGCATCCTTACTTTGTTCCTGGCCTTAGTGGGGATTTTTCTTGTGTTCCCCCATTGAATAATTTGTTGCCTTTAGAGTTGAAGTATGCTTTTCTTTCACACCCATTTCCCTGCACCGCATGCTGAGGATCTAACTAGGGCCTAGCATATGCTAGACAAGAGCTCTGTGACTGAGCTGTGTCTTTAGCATCCCACCCCATTTTTTATTTTCTCAAGAATTTATATTGGGAAGTTGTTTTAATTTTTTCCCAAATAATTTTATTTAGTATCTGTTGAATTAACATTTTTTTTCTTTTCAGACCTACTGTGCTAAACTTTATTATATATATTTCTAATAGTTAAAAATCCTTGCATTTCTTTTATATATCCCACATGGACATAGTTTATTGTTTTCTGAATCTGTTTGATATTTTGTTTAGGATTTTTACATCAGTAAGTTTCGTCTATTTAAATTTGTAAGGCTAATAGACCTGTGGGTTTGCTGTGGGTTTTGTTTTACTATGTTGTTATTATTATTATCATTATTTTTTGGCACCAGGGATTGAGACCAGGGGACCATTACTACTGAGCCACGTCCCCAGCCCTTTTTAGATTTTGAGTCAGGGTCTCTCCCAGTTTCTTAGGCTGGCTTTGTCCTCATGATCCTCCTGCCTCAGCTTCTCAAGTCACTGGGATTACAGGCATGTGCCACCGTGCCTGGTGATCTGTTTTTGAGTGAGTGTACTACCAGCTTGAAAAGATAAAGTTCCTTTTTATTGATGTTTTGGATTGAAAAGTTAGGGTGGGTGAAGGTTCCACAATTTACCAGCTTTGTGCCCAGAATTTTTAGTACCCTGCCTAGCTCATAGGCCCAGGGAAGGTTTTGGCTTAGCTTTGGCTGGCCTTCTACTTCGTAGGAAGTCTTACCTTGGTTAGAATAGGGCTATTCTTTATTCTGAAAATATGAAGAACTGTCATTAAATTTTGATGTGGAGTGATTATTTTCACAATTTTAAGCAGCAAGTTACATGGAGTAGCTATTTTGTTAGAGTTTTGGTTTCAGTTTCTAAGCTACCAGGAAGCAAATTGTATAGTTGAATAGCATGGTTTAGTGTCCAGCATTGGATTGGGCAGGCTTATTCCACAGAAGTTATTTACTGAGTATAGAATATGTTTTATTTTCAAAGTTTGTGTTGCCGTATCTCAGTTTGCTTCTTCCACATTTACATTTTCCTGGATGTCCCCATCCCCTATTTAAATTTACTTGTAGGTTTTAGTGCAAACTTACATCAGATATCATTACCAAACAAATTGCTTTTTTCAGAAGCATAAACCCTAAATTAATGTTGTGAAAATTAAAGCTTAATGTCTAATCCACATGTTCTCAAAGATTTACGTTTGAACTGGAATTACAAATGTATAACATACTGTTTTTGTTTTTATTTTTCCTGGTGTTTAGAATTGCAGAATATGTGTAGAGTGTGGCACACGATCTAGTTCTCAGTGGCATCACAATTGCCTGATATGTGACACTTGTTACCAACAGCAGGATAATTTATGTCCTTTCTGTGGAAAGTGCTACAATCCAGAATTGCAGAAAGACATGCTCCATTGTAATATATGCAAGAGGTAAGAAGGAGCAGCTGTTTTGTTTTGTTCATGCTTTGCCTCCCCTTTCCCTAGATACTAACTTGAGTTTGAATTAGACATTTTAATTTAAATATACTTATCACTGCAGATGGGTTCACTTAGAATGTGACAAGCCAACAGAACATGAACTGGACTCTCAGCTCAAAGAAGAGTATATCTGCATGTATTGTAAACACTTAGAAGCTGAGATGGATCCCTTACAGCCAGGAGATGGAGCAGAGATGGCAGAACTCACTTCAGGTGAACTCAAGAATTCTGGGTTTTCTTCACAATGTTGTACTAGCTGGTCCCCAACATGCCACTCCAATCATAATGATTGGATCCTCTGCATCAGATCCTGTGTTGTTGTCTTAACCTTTAGTGTGCTTGTTTTGGCCATCTCTGAATTGGATGACTGAAGAAAAATCTAGATTCTTTCATAGCTTCATGGTTGGATCCCAGGTCTAGTGTGCTTTTCTTCAGTTTTGTTTTTTAAGCCACCATTTCCTGAGCTGTGGGCATGAAGCTTAGTTTTTTTTTTTTTTCCTTCATAATCTAATATGTCTTGCTTTAAAACAAGTGTTGGTTTTATAATATCCTTTATAAATGTCAGTTATCTCCTGAGCCCCAAATTTTGTTCAGGTACAGCATATTTTAATGGTATCCTGTTATTGTAAGCACAATAAGAAGATTTTTAGTAGAAGGTAAAGAAATAGACCTGCTTACTAGATTGTTTTTCATTTTCATCAATATGATTGGCAACCTTTATGAAGATTCTATTTTATCATCTAGAAGGGGTTAATACAAGTATCTTAATCACTACAATTTTATTTCCAGCATGCTGTCAGCATACAGTGGTGGGCTACCTTTAAAAATAAGAAAATGCCAATTACCTTAAGTGTGTATGTATGTATCTCAATGTGTAGTACGTACATACAGATTTTTCTTTGTTAGTGCTGGGGTTCAAACCCAGTGCCATGTATACTACTGAACTATATCAATCACAAGTCTGTAAAATATACTTTTAATTAATACTTATCAGTTACTTTTAGTACATTATAATTTTGATGCTTTAAAAAGTGAAAATATGTATTTGGTTCAAAAACAAATTCAGAAAGAAAAACTAGTGGCATTTCTGGTAATAATTTACTTTTGTAACATGTTATTTGTTAACCTAGTAAGCAAAAACCAGAAAAACTCATTAAAAACTAAAGAATTAATAATTTTCTGTTAAGATTATAACAATGAAATGGAAATCGAAGGGTCCGAAGATCACCAGATGGTATTTCTGGAGCAAGCAGTTGATAAAGATGTCACTGATCAGGAATCCACACCTGGAATTGTTCCAGATGGTAAGCATGTTTGTGATGATGGAATGTATTCTATTTTTTGAAAGAGACGTATGTGTATGTTGAATATGTGAATGTCTACTAAAATCTGAGCATTCTGCATAAAACTTAGCCAAGATATGGACAGTGAAGAAATTATTTAGAGAAGAACTTTTTGGAAAAAATAATCTCTGACCTAAATTAATAGGAGAAGGGGCATGTATATAGTTGAGCTATAATCTAGATTTAATAATAAGTATATATTCTTTTTATGAATTAGGCGATTTCCATTAAAAAGCAATTTATTTTTTTCTTTAGTTATTATAATTGCTAACTAGATCTATGGCCGATTTTAAGGTATTGCATGCTGAGATAAAGAAAAATTTATTGTTTTAGAATATCTCAGCAGTCTTAACTGCAGGTGTTTCAATGACATTTTATGTTTTTGCAGTATGGATAATAGCTGTTACTGTAATTGAGGACCTGTGATTAATGAGAGAGATTGTGTTAGAAAATTACTTATTAAATTAAATCATGGACTTAAATGAAATTCTTTGGTATTTGTTAAGTCGTATATTAAATTATGTAGGTTGTGTATACATAAAAAGCCTTAGTTTTTTTTTTTAATTTGTTAAGTATACTTTAACAACACTCATTAAAAATTATACTTCATAAATATGTAAGTGAAGAATAATAGGAAATATTTATTATAAATCTCACACAGCATACCAGATTTCTAATTTTATTTTCCTATGCTAGTTGGTAATAGTATGTCTTGTGCTTATATTGGAAATTGACATTTCACAGTAAGATAACTCTTGTTCCAATTATTGTTGAGAGAGCAATGGTAGGGAAATTTTGGTTCCTTGCTAAAGATTCCATAATATGTTATTTGTACCAGTTCAAGTCCACACTGAAGAGCAGCAGAAAAATAATCCTCCAGAAAGTCTTGATACAGATGATCTTCTCATTTCGGGTAAGCTGTATATTCAAACTACTTCATTTGATCAAATTTCAAGATAATCCCTTTGTTAGCTCTAATGCAGATTCAAAGAATTGTCCAGTGAATTAACTTTAAAATAAATCATCCCACAGAGGTTTTTTGCAATAACTGTGTACGTATTACTGTAACCACATCTTTTGGTTAAGTGATTCTCTTTTGGAAAAGAGTTGACACTGGGTTGTTTCTCTCTAAAGSGTTTTGTTTAGTAGTGTCAATGTTGTTTGATGTTTTCTCTCTGTGCTCAACTGGAGTCTGAATGAAGCAGGAATGAGAAGTGAGATTTTATTTTGGTATAGGAACATAATTTTAGTCAATGATTGGCAAAGTAGTAAATGAGAAGATGGTGTCTTTATTATTGTAATTTAAAAATTACCTCTAAGGGATTTGGAATAAATGCCTTTTATTTTTCAGCAGTCCTACTTTATAGAACCTCTTAGGGCTCATGCTAATTGGGACCTCTACTCTTAAGAAAGACTGTGTTATGTTGGGTGTGTTAGTGCACACCTCTAATCCCAGCAACTCGGGAGCCTGAGGTTGGAGGATCACAAGTTCAAAGCCAGCCTCAGCAAAAGTGAGGCGCTAAGTAACTTAGTGAGAGCCTGTCTCTAAATAAAAATACCAGTAGGCCTGGAGATATGGCTCAGTGATTGGGTGCCCCTGAGTTCAATCCCCAGCACTAAAACACAAAACAAAACAAAAGAAAAAAAATGGGTTAAAGGCTTAGTACACGTACTTTGATTTTAAATCTATCAGTAAGCAACTGTGTGTATTTCTAATATTTAATGTGTTTTATGGACTTGCTAAGATTATGAGGAAGAACAAGAATTGTATCCAGGGCTGGGGATGGAGCTCAGTTGGTAGAGTGCTTACCTCGCATGCACAAGGCCCAGGGTTCAGTCCTCAGCATCACCACCCACCCCACCCCACCCCACCTCCCAAAAAAATCCAAACTATGTTTTGGGTAGTTTGGCAGGTACAGCTGCTAAGCAAAAAAGGGTCTTCTTGGTTAGTCTTTTCTGTCTGTGCTCATTTCTCGTTTGAGTCTGCTACAACAAGTTATCTGCAAAATATCTTTACATTCTAGACCAGTCTTCATCTTTTACCTTGGATACGTTATACAATATCACTGGTCTTCTTTTTCCTAGCTGCCAAATATGTATGATAACTTTACCTATGTAATTTTGATCCTTTTGTAAGTGCTTATATTGTAAAACATTGTTTATGTATGATAGAATTATATTTTTAATTAAATCTCTGGTTGTTCTTACCAGAAATTACCTTAAGCTATGGGGTTCCTATTTTAGCCATATTTTCACAAGATCTGTGATTGATTCTAATCAACAAGCCCTTGTGTATTTTCACTTTTATTAACTTAATAATTGCTTTTTTGATGAATGCCTTATGATGTAATTTGTGATATAACCAAGAATTTCATATCTATTCACAGATATTTATAAATTCATAGACATTTATAAATTTGTATATTAATATAACTTGTTCTGGTTTGTAGAGTCATCCCACAATAAAATGAATGCTGAATTGGAAAATGAGATTTCTCATGAAATTGGTGGTGAAAAATTGGAAATGCCATCCAAAGTGATGCATATTCAAGATGAAGATCAAAGTGAAGAAAAAATGGAAGTGACAGAGAACAATGAAGTTCTCCCACACCAGACCATTGTGCAGCAAAAGGAGCTGCCATTGTTAGAGGAATCTAAGATGGTGGAGTCCAAAGAAGAACCAAGGCTTCCAAACTCAGTCATTGAATCTATCACCRGTCCACGAGAAGCCTTAGTGTCCTCAAGCAAGGAAAGTACTTCATTGAATTCTAAGGAACAGTTGGTTATAGAAAGGTTACAAGAAAAAATAGAACAGAAAGAAAATCCTGAATTTACCCCTGGGTTTATGGACTTTGAAATGACTCCTGCAGTGGAGAGTTGTATCAGAGAGGGTTCATGTCAAGGTGACAAATCTGTGAAGTTATCAACTGAGACTGTGGCAGCATTTTCATCATCAGCAGGAACAAGCAAGGCAAGCTTGTCTTCCTCTCCAGCCCTTGCTTCAGACTTGCCTTCTCATGCCATGCTGCATGGGTACCCACCGACCCTCAGTTCCTCTGCTGGAAATATCATGCCAACAACGTACATCTCAGTCACTCCCAAAATTGGCATGGGTAAACCAGCTATTACCAAAAGAAAGTTTTCTCCTGGTAGACCCAGATCCAAACAGGTAGGATGATTTTAATGATGTTGACAGAAAAGATGTTGGAACAATTAGATAAAATAACGGAGTGCACGTATAGCTTTGTTCTGGAGAGTTACTTTTTCTTTCCCCACGTAGAACTCAGATTGATGTTGACTCATATGTTTGCACCATTATTTAGAAAGTGATGTTAATGAAAACTGTATTTTATTACTAAAGTGATCACATTTGTAATTTCAGTTTAGTTGGGACATGCAAATGTGATTTCTTTGGTTATGGTTTCTCATACRAAGCACTTTACGAACTTTTAGTTCTGTGTTCACAGTAATGGTAGAGCTTTAAGTAACAGTGAAGTTTTGAGTATACAGTAACTAACACTTGTATTCTCTCCCAAAATATTTATTTACTGATATTATTTGGTGTATGCATCTTGAACTGCATCAACATTAAGATTGATGACGGAGTTTTTTCATGCCAGGGTGTTGCTCATTTTGATGTTTTTATTGCTAACTCTTTTGTGGAATTTTTTTCTTTCCTTCCTTTCTTCAAGTTACAACTTATTTCGTTAGTTCCATGGGAGAAATCTTTGAATTGTATTGTTGCTCTTCAAGAAGTAAAGGGAACTCTTTCTCATTGTTGTTTTAAGTAGTGAGGATACTTTTTAAGTGAGATACCAGCAAAATGTAGACACTGTAGCTAAGAATTATTTATTGATTTACACAGTTGTTACCTTGTCATTTTGAAAATTTTTTGAGAAAGTATCGAACAGGGATATGTTCAGTCATACTAGTAATTTGAAGGCTTAAGTCTGATTTTTTAAATTGCTTTCAATAATTATAGTTTGACTTTTATGGTGGTAATACATTAATCTTGATAAACTAATTTTTGAGTTACAGAACTAATTTTTTAAAATCTGGCTTTATTTTAATGTGAAAATTAGTCTCTTCTAAATGAATCCCAGCTACATTTTATTCTCTGAAGATAAATTATATCAGGACAAATGTCACATGGGATTTAGCTTTCTCTGTATGGTAAAGACATATGCAGTAACTGAACAATTTTATAAATGTACTTTTTTCTAAATATTTTTCTTCATACGAATTTCTGTTTTAAGAGTTTTCTTCTCAAACTAATTCTTTTTAAATTTTTTATTTTCAAAACGTTTTGACTTTGAAAAAAGTTTAGCAATAGAAATTTGAATTTTAAATTTACTTTTAGTTCAGATATTTTCATTCTTTAAGGATACTGCAGCATGAACTTTTCTGTTAAATTTTACTAAATTCTTTGCTTAGTGGAGACTTTTTGTAACAGCTGGGAAACCAGATTCAATATATAATAGGACTATTTTTTCTGTTGACTTATGTTCCAAAATAATTGTATCTGTGTGTGCGTATTTTTTCCCAGCTTATCCCATCTTTTATAAACCACATCCTAATATTTCTTGTTGGTTGTGTTGTATTGTCTTTCAGTTCCCACATCTGGTAATAGTCTACTTTAGTTGACACTATCTCATCACTACTGCCATCATGTGCTGCTAACCTTATAAGCATTTTAAAGTTATGTTCTCCCTTCTTTTAGCTTTTTAATTTTCCCATCTTGGTTTTCGTTATATAAAAAAAAGTGTTTACTTGGTGCTTCATGACTTGCTAACATTACTGCTGTTACCATGGAGAGTATGAATCAAATAAGATAAAATGGCCTTTCCATTGCTGAGGCACTGGGGCCATAATATTCTAGGCAAATGCTCTACCACTGAGCTACGTCCCCAGCCTGTGACCATAATATTCTGTACATAATGGGAGTGACATTTGTATATTGGAAATACTGAAGTCCGTTATTTTGTTAYACAATTTTTTTTTTTTACATTTCCTCTTTAATTTATTGTTTCACTTACAAACTCTTGACAGTAGGGATTGGCTAAAAATATGAGATGGATTTTCACCACAATGGTTGTGATGCAAGCTTTGGTTTCTGAGTGTTTGATTGTTGGCATCACTGGCATTTCCATGCTTTGTTGAATGTCATCGGTTCTTTAGTCTTCACTAGAATGGTAAATTTAGTCTATTAAATCCTGTTTCATGATGGTTGGATCTTTATTTATCTTACTGATTTTGTAGTATTATGAACTTTCCTGGAGAAAAAGTTAAGTGCATAATACTTTGATTAGAAACAAAATCTGAAAGATTTAATCTTTCAGATTTAAAGTTTGATATGATAGTAATTAAATTATTGAATGTTATCTGCGGTATAAATTAGTATAAGGATAAACCAGTATTCAGTGTAAATATAATGCAAGTCACATGTATGATTTTAAATATTCTGACAACTAATTTTAATGTATTTTAACACCATATTCAAAATATTCAGCACTTAATGTAAAAACGAGTAAGATACTTCATATATTTTTTATGACAACTGTTTGAAATCTGCCTTGTGTTTTATTCATACTTAAAATTCTTCTCCGTTTTGACTCACCACAGAAGTAGTGCTTGGTAGCCGTACATGACTAGTGGCTACTTAGAGAAAGCATTTTGAGAAATATGAAAACATCAGTTACCAAATTCTGGATGAAATTAGAAGAAATACTGGATAAATTCAAGATAAGCTAAGAATGTTGTTACAATCTCACTGTGTTTAAGGAGTGAGCTGAAATATTCTACTTTGTCCATTGGCTCATCGGAGACATTTCAAGCCAGACCACTTCTGGACCATTTGTTGTACAATAAGTGTCTGTCTGAGTTACTGATACACATTGCAGACACACAAGCCAGCATAGGGTCTTTTCTGAATCCGAGTGGTTGACACAGGAAAGAGAACCTTTATCTGAAGCATTGGGAATTTGTTATCAAAGGGTAGACTACAGAGGATTTTTTCCTTTACAAGTAGTTTAGTGTTTTATGTCCTACCTTTTATATGTAAAATTTCCATTGCTATTTAGTGAGAATCCTGATGCTTATTTTCTTCTGAGATATTTTGGATATATCTCTAATGTGTATTCCTGATTACAGGAATAGTAACAAATTATTCTGATGCTTGTTCGTAGAATAAGATTCTTTTTGTTTTCTGATCCCTCCCAACCCCCTTTTCATACACAGGATTTTACAAAGATGAGGGAAAATTAGACAGTAGGACAAGGAAATTAGGGGGATCAATAACATGCAAATTTGTCCTAGTAAACCAGTTGTATTTAATTTAAGCATTTATGAAGACTTTAATATATCATTTTTCAGTATTTTTATAGGTAAATCTTAATGTTAAAAAGGTGGTTATTGGTCCTACTACCTGCAGCAATAGGTGGGGGGGTGATATGCGGGAGCTTTTGTTCTTGAACAGTTTCATCGCAGTGTGTGAGAACAGTCTCTAGATGCTATGAGGCTGAAGAAAGAGGAGGACAGATCCAGAATTATGGAGTACAGTTATTAGATTTTTAGAAAAATGTGGTCCTGGGTGGCTGTAGATCAGGTAGATCCCAGCCATTTGAATCAGAGGYAGGAGGCTTACAGAAAGGGCAGAATAGAAATGAGGACTTTTTCATACCTGGAATGTACTCGCATAACATCATAGATAATCAGGCACATTGCTGGGGCTGGAGATGCCAGGGTCTGGTGGCAAAGCTCCATGGAACACTCTAATGGTTTGTTTTTTCATAGTGTGTTGGAAACTGCAGGGAAAGCAGCCTCATTACTCAGGGGCAGTCATGGTGGTTCCCATTCAAGTTGGCTTTAGGCAAGTAAAGCTGAATCTGTACAGCTTTTACAGCTTCATTTTAATGCTGGGAGCAGTGAGATTTGCCTGTAATCCCCGCAACTTGGGTGGCCAAGGCAGGAGGATTGCAAGTTCAAGGCCTGTCTCAGCAACATAGTGAGACCCTGTCTCAAGAACCAAGCAACAAACAAACAAAATAGAACTGCTGGGGATGAGGATGTAGCTCTGTGGTAGAGTCCCCCTGGGTTCAGTCTCTAGTATCACCAAATACCCCCACTCTCAATTAAATCATCATTGTAATGGTCCCACCCTAGACCAGTTCAAACACAGACTCTGAGGTTGTCTTTGACCTTAACCCTGGATGGAAGTGGAATCCTGAATTAGAGAAATGTACTGCTTTTTGTTGTTTTACTGGATTTTCCCCCCAATGCATGAAATATGATACCATAAGAAACTCTTTTAAAAAGTGGTGGAAAATAGGAAGATTTTTTTCTTTTTTGAGCATTATAATTATATATAGCCGTATGGTTCATCCCAACAAAATCCTTTATGCGTGAAATTCTTTTTCAGTTCATAAGCGTGCCCCCCCCCTCCTTTCTCTGCTCTACAGATCAGGAAGGAAATTTTTAAAAATGAAAATATCAAATCATATTGGTTTATATTTCAGCTTCTATTCCATTTGTCTCATTTCACAATTGTATTTATCCGTTCATTTGTAAATTCTGAGACAATAATAAGCCACATAGCTGCGATCTATATCAGACCTCTCATGTATTGATTGCTTTTGTGGTGTTCCTGAAAAATCTATTGTAAACATTCTATGAATTTTTAAATGATTTAYAGTAAACATTTTAAGAAAATTTTATAAARTGAATCATAGGTAATATATTTTTATAACTTTTAGTCAAATTCTAAGAATTCTTTATTTTTGAACTTTACTTTCTGCCATTTCTTCTTGGTAATATCTATTATATATGGAAAGCTTAGGAATTTGCATAAGTTCTGATATTATATACTATGAGGTGTTCTCATAAAGAAGGTGAGATTTCTTCAATGTAGTAAGTTTCTAAAGGTAGTACTTCAGCAGATCATAACTACTTTCCCGTTTGTGAACTATTTTTTTTTCATGAATTTATGTAATCTTCTTATGTACCAGAGTGTTAATAACATACTTGGGTACTGCAATAGCATTTTAGGTGAACTGTTTCAAATTAATGTATCAGTTTCATCATCTGTTTCTGTGAGAAAAAAACAGGACCCGAGAAAGATGAGCTATAGGGGATTATAGTTTTGTTAACAATTGCAAATAAGCAGCTTATTTA